TGAGTGATATTTTGGGATCGGGCTACACGCCGCAGCATATTATATTGATTATATTTTATGGGATCGGGCTGCACGCCGCAGCGATATAGTGATTACATTCTATGGGATCGGGCTTCACGCCGCAGCGATATAGCGCTTGGGCTGAAAGGAGCCCCTCCGGAGTCTGCACACCCCCAGTGAACGCAGTCGACTATAAATATGGATCAGGATGCGCACCGCAACAGGTATTGATGTAGAAACTCATAAACATAAAACCCTGAATCCGTCCTTAACTCTCCCTGCACCAAAATTTCACTGTAATATGTACACAAGCGACAACTAAAAGTACAAGTCAGATATATGAATCTACAACGAAAGCGCAGGATACCGAGTAATTTTCTTAGTCACAAACAACAATTGCACTAATCAAAAGCAGTACTACGATCCTATTTTTCTTTGCGCAGATAGAAAATGACAACAAATGTAGGTCCATAAATGAAAAAGCAATGTCACTTTTCGCAATTTTTTTTTTTTATAGAAGAATCAAAAACTGTAATTAATTAAAAAAAAAATAGACGAAGAGTAAGCAATTTTGATATATGCATTATTTCCTTTGTCGCTTGTTGCAGAATTGCAGTGCGTTTTCCTCTAGCTATGCTGCCCATTTTCCGAAATCCCAATAGATTATGACTGTTAAATACAATTGAATCAGTAATTAAATTCATTAAGAATACATTACTACCTCCTGTTCACTTTTTTGATTTTTTGTTGTTTTTACGGAATCCATCTTTTAGCATAAATTAACAATGAAATTGACCATATTAAACGTAATTTATTTATTAAAAATATAACAAATAATCCTAGGCTCTTGACTCCAAGGACAACTTTGGAAAAAAAAAGTTAAAACCTTCTTGATATCCGAATAAATCAAATATTATGGACCGCAAAAAAAATGCCAAAAAATCAATTAAAGTGAATCGAATGAAGAAGTATTAAGTAGTAGCTGTAATTTACTAAATCAACCTTATTTATTTCCTTGACTATTAAATGCTAATATTGGAAAGCGAGTACCTAATATTGAAAAGAGAAAAATTGAAAGAAAAAATAATAATTTTGTTAATTTTTTTTAAGCGACAGATATTTATTTTTTTGGGCAAAAACGACACTTAGAGCCTGTTTGGCTAAAGCTTCTAGGAGGCCAAAAATATTTTTTTTTTTTGTCAAAAAAGTACTTTTTGAAAAATTTAAGACGTTTGGCCAAAATGAAAAAGTACTTTTGAGCAGCAGAAGCAGTTTTTCTGCTTTTGAGGAGAAGCCACAAATTCTGGCTTATTCCAAGAGACAGAAGTAGAAATTAGTTTGTTCAAGACAAAAATAACCTTACAATAAATTTATATTTTCCAAATTATCCCTCATTACTTTAACATTTTTATTTTCCTTTTCCTTTTCCTTTTCCTTTTCATTTTTATTTTTATTTCTACTATACATTTCTTCTCTTTTTTACTTTAATCATATTTTTATTCTTGTTCTCCTATTCCTACTTGACATATTTAAATTATCATGCAAACAATAAGTAATACCAAATACTCAATGTTATTGCATTGAAATAACTATATTTTATATTGATTAAAAAAAATTATTTATATTTTTACTTTACGTTTTATATTTTAATTGAATTCTTTTATAATAAATATTTAAATTTATTTTTTTTTCTAAATAATACTAATCGCAAATTGAACATTTAACTTACTGTCCTTTTTCGTAATTTGATATTTAAAAATACTTTTTTAAAAGATTGGCCAAACACAATGAGCTTGCAAAAAGTACTACTCAAACGAATTGGCCAAACACAAACTGTTATTTTGCAAAATTACTTTTCCAAAAAGCACTACTTTTTAAAATAAACAGTTTTTGGCAGCTTGGCCATACGAGATCCTAAAATTGGATAGAGGGAGTATCACTTTTTTTTTCCATCACATCCATAACAATATTCCTCAATTTCATGTTTTTTATACCTTTCCTACCAACAAATGGTGGAATTTATTCAAACTCTATATAAATGTTCAGCATCCAAATTCCCAAATTCATGAACCTAAGCTAAATTCTCAATTCTAGTTCATAATGTGTTCAACGGGGAAAGGAACTCAAACTCATAATTTAGAAATAGTCCAAACCCAAGCTAAATTTGGTATACAACAAATTCAACTTTACCCATATTAACATTTGGATATACAACTTGACGGACCTAAATTTAGTAATTTGGTCTAGGCAGTCTTCTATTTCATCAAATTAGATCGCAATGAGTTATAATTCAATCATGTCTCTCAAAAGACTAAGCGAAACATGAGATAGGTGGACCAATTTAGTAGATATAAAAGAATTATTCGACCAGTGGCATACGCATGATCTTGCATAAATTGTGTAGCCACGTTAAGAAGCAGTAAACCAACGGATACTTGTAAGTCAAAACTCGAAGAGCAGGGTGACAAGCTCCCAACAAAGGGAGTGGTCAAATCAGGTATGTCTCTGCTTATTCCCGACATGCTATAGTACCCCGAAGTGGCTAGGAGCGGGTCATGTCTTATCGAATCTACTCAACTAGGAGCGGTACATGCGTAGGTGATATTATGACGACCCCTTTTTTCGTACCGCTAGATTACTTGCCTTCTATCATAGTGAACAATATTCCACTGATTAGGCTGGGACAACATTCGAGCATGTAATCTTCGGGTCATGAGCCTGATGAATTGATCAATTCCTCTACCCCACATTCTCTTTCTTTGCAGTAAGGTGGATGTGGTTTCGAACCACACAAGAATTTTCAGTTCAGCTGAGTTACGTGAACCACTTTGAAATAATTCTCCCTTCTTTATGTAAATTTTGACTGCAGCCTGAGTTTTCTTTTGCATGTACACATACTTATTCAAAAGTGATTCACCTGCACTTGTCAGTCAAAAATCGAAACAGCCCGAGTTTTCTTGCAGCTACTAAAGAATCGCCCTACCGAACCCCAGTAAATTAAAATTAACTGATGAAATGCAACCATCTGGAACTGTTTTCCCTGCATATTTAGATAACATTGCAAATGGAAAAAACAACTCGGATCAGGTCTCTGTACGTTTATCAGTTTAGGAGTGAGACAAGGATACCCGAGATCTGTTTCTATCTCTGAGCCTGAACTTGCATTTTCAACAAAGGTGTTGAACTTTGCATAAGGTCATCTTTGAATGTCACACAGCTGAAACTTACTCATGTTCTGTTTGTAATTTCCATTGCTCATGACAGATCCTCGAGGCTGAAAAAAGATATACTTTCTTCCTCTAGTAAGTTTTTAGGCATTTTCTCAAATTGCAGAGAAACAGATCGCCTTTCATCACTGGTATATGAACACTGCAATTTTGATGGACTGGTTTAAGAATATATATGTGTGAGACACCTTTCACATGTCCCGAGGGAAGCGAACTGACATGTTGAGATTGCAATTCAAAAATTCCTCAACGAATGAAAGGTAATACACTGCAAAACGACAGAAAAGGTAATAAGATAATAGACAATAAAGACGCTGAAACAAGAAAAGATCAAGGCACAGGATCCATTTTTTAAAGAATCCACACACACAGAAAAAAGTTTAATCAGAGGGAGGGCAACAAAGAGGTGAAAGAGCAAAATTGCAAGTTTAGAAACTTGGGCTTATACACACATATCTTACAATTGATACTTGAGTTGAACAATCCCAAAAGTAGCTTAACTAACAATGAAACCAACTTCGTTTATGAAAAACTACACAGAATGAATAGAACAAGCAAAACAAACCAAAATATGTTGTATTTTGGTAATGTTGCTTTTGTCGGATCGCCATGCGGGCTTGGTTGAATTCACAATGTTCTGGAAATCGGGTCAGTGTAATAATGGTCTGGACTGGGATTGTTAAGTCAAAAGTTCAAAGCTCTTTGGTTAGGTTCCATTAAGTGTCAAGATAATGTAAGTACAGCACCTTAATCTATATGCATAAGAAAAACAGCACCTTAATCTTTATCCATAAGAAAAACAGCACCTTAATCTTTATGACAAAATGAAAAAAAAAAAAAAGAGAGAAAAAAATGAAATTTGACATCCTATTACGGGACTTGATTAATTATGATCTCTACTTGGTGAAGTAATAACTTGTTATGTTTCCTCTCATTTATCTTTTTTTAGAAAGATTTGGAGTACTGACTTTTGTAAACAAAAAACCATTTTAGGCTAGTTACGGTCTGAAAGAGGTACAAAATTCTCACAAGTCACACACACACACACACACACATATATATATATATATATATATATATATATATATATATATGAATGATAAATAAGAAATCATCTATCTATTGTGGAGTAATATCAATCAACAATCAAGGAGATTATTCGAATGCATATAGGAGATTCTTCGAATGCATACAGGAGATTCACTGTAAAATGAAGCATCCTTGTTCACAAATACTTGTATGCACACAACGGTTCATATAAACTATTGACTTATTCTCTTTTGATATTATTAGACAAAGAATGGTATAACAAGAAGAAGAAATAAAGGAAATTACTCTTTTCTAGCAGTTTTGTGAGGTAATGAAAATATACTTGGATACCATGGGACATCACAAGCCATCAAAATCTAACTTCATCTCAATGTATACCAAGATCGCATTACTTGGAAATCCATCTTACAACATCATTCACAAGCCAGGAAAAACTTCTGTCGATCCATTCAATACTATGTGGATAACATCTTGCATCACTCCAATGACCATTATTCACAGGGTAATTAACTTATGGAATGAAGTCCACCTACTAAAAGGCAGTTACAGATGGTAGTCTTTGGTTCTCTGAATAAATACATCACTTCCTGGCCTGACGTTTCGAGCTCCTACTTAAGCTACCAACTAGCGAAGTATAAGTAGCATAGTCATGAACAAGCCCCATTTCACCACGTAGCTTATCATAATCATCAGGATTTCCATACTTGCCCATCCAATAGTATGTTATAGGTAAGTTATAACATTAGGCGCATGTCCATTACTTTGAATCTGCCTTAGCAACTTAAAACCCATCTTAACATCTCCCTTCTTGCAAAAACCATCGATTACCACAGTATAAACAGGGTCATCAGGCTTCAACATTTCCATTAAAATCCTTTGTGCATCAACTACTCGCCCTTGCAGACATAAACCTGTAATAAGATCTGTATATGCTACATCATCTAGTTCAATGTCATTATCAAACATCATTTTCTTGATCTCAAATTTTCACGACCCAATTTCTCCTCCGTTGGGTATCATGATGGCACCAAGTCTTAGGAACTACGTAAGCCTAACATTTATTAAATAACAACAATAATTAAATAACATCTAACAATCTTTGAAATGAAAACCTCTATAAAATTTACAATTCTCAAAACCGATAGTACAAGTCATAAGCTCTACAGAGTTTGCTATAATTTACTAAGTACAATTGTTTGAAATAAAGTAAACAGTGTGAATACAAATAAGAAGGTGACTCCGAAGCCTGCGGACGCAGCAACAGGTTTACCTTAAGTCTCCACAATAACAATCCGCACAACTAGCTAATGATCAACTGACTTCGAAATACCTGGATCTGCACAAAAAATATATAAAAGTATAGTATGAGTACACTACGGCGGCACCGAGCAAGTATCAAGACTAACCTCAGTGGGTAGTGACGAGGAACAGTCAAGACACTCACTAGTCAAATAACCTGTGCAGTATAGCATACAAAAATAATAGAAAATAAATAGCAGTGATAGCAACACCAATTAACTAGTGATTTAAACAGCAAGGCAGCAGGAATACCATAAATATTGCTCAAACGAATAATAAACACAGGTACAACCAATTAATCAAGTCCTTCAAAATATACATCTTTTATCTATAAGTTTTTCAATAAAAGTCTCTAGAATATAATCCTTTCCAATAAATATATTTCGAATATAATTCTTTCAAGTAAAAGTCACCATGTGACACCTCATTTAACTATCCTGGTGTGAGAAATATATTCAACATATCATATCAAATGGCACGGCAATACCTTCGTGTATTTATCTCTTTCTCACCGTGCAAACATATAACAATACCAACTAGGTGGGAAAAAAGTCAATAACAATAAAAGAAATAAAGTGGGAGACACACAGTAAACAACAACGACTACAAGTCACATAGAAAATATAGGTGCACAATAATATCTCAAGCTAAATGCATGAATGTATACACAACAAAACGATATCACAATATAATATATGTATCCCGTCCTCGCCTGCACGGAAATACTCTTCGTGCCATGAATATATGATAACATAAAAATAATAGCATGGCATCACCCTTTGTGCTTTCACTCTCATCCTCGCCTGATAATATAAATGAAATGGTACGGCATCACCCTTCGTGCTTTTATCCTCTCAATGGCACGGCATCACCCTTCTTGCTTTACACTCTCAAATGGCATGGCATCATCCTTCGTGCTTTACACTCTCAAATGGCACGACATCACCCTTCGTGCTTTACACTCTCAAATGGCACATCACCCTTTGTGCTTTACACTCTCCCTCACATGATAATATAATTCAAATGTCACGGCATCACCCTTCGTGCTTCACCACAATAAGTACAATAGCAACAATGACAATAATAAAATAGTGCGACAAATAAATCAACTCAGAAATTTCAGAACTCAAAGAAACGGAGGAACTAATTCACAACAATAGATAAGGCTAGTCATAATAAGAATAGCTCAACAAGGGAGAAACTAATATGTAACAACGGTCCCACAAAGTACAGTTCAACAACGAGGGAGATATCATGAGTCAATAATTCCAATAAGAATAAGTTAACTAAGATATAGGATATCTAAACTTCTTTTAAGGTTGGGCAAGTACGAAAGAGACACAACAACTTCAATTAAGGATAAGCAGTATAAATATTATCATAGCCTCAATTAAGGATGAACAATTACAGAAGAGATAAATATAAATTCAAATAAAGATAAGTAGTTAGGGGAAAGATAACATGGCAGTAGAAGAGAAACCAATTTCAGTTAAGGCACAGATGAATCAAATGAACAACAAGAGTGGATCATGAAGTAATTAATTCTAATTAAAACATGTAGATGTGAAACTAGTAATTTAGAAATGTAAGCATAACGAGAACAACTGCATATTCGGTGAATACAATGACCTAAGAACCCTAAAAGGCCAATTTTCCACAAATAAGTCTGAGCACGTACTCGTCACCTCGCATACACGGACTACAAATAGCATAGAAGACTCAAATCCTAAGGGGTAGTTCCCCCACACGAAGTTAGGCAAGATACTTACCTCAAGAAAGACAAACCGATACTCTCAAATAAACTTCTCGGGTGAAATGACCCCCGGACGGCTCAAATCTAATCAAAATAACTTCAAAGCACAAATAAAACTCATAAGAAACTTTTTCGGGTCATAAAGCCTCAATCTTTATCAAAATCTAAAAATCGACCCCCGAGCCCGCACCTCGGAACCCAACAAATTTCACAAAACCCGAACACCCATTCCAATATGAGTTCAACCATACTAAAATTATCAAATTCCGATATCAATTCATCTCTCAAATCATGATTTTTCATTTTGAAAGTTTTCTTCGAAAATCCCTATTTTCCTCAACTCAAAATATAAATTAAATGATAAAAATAAAAATAAAATCATGAAATATAATAAATTCTAGGTGAAGAACACTTATCCAATCGATTTGCTTGAAAAATCCACAAAGAATTGCTCAAAACCGAGCTCCAGAAGTCAAGATATGATAAAAATGGCCTAACCCTCGATTTGGAAAATATATTCTGCTGCCCAGGTGTTAAAGCATCACGAACGTGGAAGACTACTCACGTTCGCGGAGAAGGAAAAATGAAGCTGGACGGATATGCTTCGCGAATGCGAAAGATGGCTCGCGAACGCGGGGAGGAAAATTTGAGGTCTGTAACTGATTTAGGCTTGAAATGGCGAAAGTCGAATTTTCGGAGATTTTGACCGGAAGTGAACTTTTTGATATCGCAGTCGGAATGCGATTCCGAGAGTTGAAATAGCTCCGTTATGTTATTTGGGACTTGCCTGCAAAATTTGACGTCATTCCGGGTTGATTTGATATGATTCGGCACGGGTTTTAGAAGTTGGAAGATTTGGAAGTTCATAAGTTCGATTCATGGTGCAATTCATAATTTTGATGTTGTTTGATATGATTTGAGACTTCGAGCGAGTCCGTGTTAAGTTATGGAACTTGTTGGTATGTTTAGACGGGGTCCCGGGGGCCTCGGGTGTATTTCGGATGGGCTACGGGCCATTTTCTTATATTTTTTGAACTGTTGAATCTGTCATCTGGTTTTCGCTTTTGCGTTCGCGTCTCTCTTCACGCGTTCGCGAAGGTATGACACCCTACAAGAAAATAACAATAACAACTAAACATGTACTATTGGGAGGGGGACATGCTAAAGGGGCACATGATATAGGAGATACAGCGGAAATGATAACCAGAACAGTCAACATGCTTTTAACCAGTGAGAACCAACTAAACACAATGAAGAAAATTTGCACGACAGAGAAGAATAGAAGTGAAATGATTCCTAAACTTCATAGCCTCTGGAAGATAAGCACAGACGTCTCCGTACTGATCCTTCAGACTCTACTAAGCCTGCTCGTGAATTGTGACTCTAGATCCGGGTGGTAGCAGTTAATGAAGTTTTTATATTATTCCGCACTCACTGTATTCCATTTTAGCTTATTAGCTGTTATTTATTGAATTGAATAAGGATTGGCTTAATAATTCTCTAATGTCGGCTTTCCTAGCAAGTGAAATGTTAGGCGCCATCATGGTCCCGATGGTGGAAATTCCGGGTCGTGACATAAATGCTCCATCTAAATCTCCCTCTGCACAACATCCATCAATAATCGTCGTGTATGTGATCTTATCAGGATTCAAACCCTTTTCAATCATTACATTAATGAGCTTCCTCGCTTCCCCTAAATCCCCACTCTTACAAAGTCCATTGACAAGTGTGTTATACGTAATCAAATCCGGTTCCACCCCTTGCGTCAGCATATGTTGATAAGCGTCAATGGCTAAAACAATGCTACCATCTTTGCAATGGCCATTAATCAAAGTCGTGAATATAAAAACATTTGGAACCAAACCTTTTACACACATCTCATTAAACAACTCGTTCGTGTCCCTCATCCAAAAGCTCTTGCAAAGCCCGTTGATCAGAGCACTATACGTATAAATATCGGGCAAAATTTCTCTTTCCTCCATTTCTCTTTTTACCCTATACCCTGCATCCATATCACCTAATCTACAATACCCATTTATCAAAATATTGAAACTAACAACACTTGTTCTCAAATTCCTCTTCCTCATCTCCGTAAACACCGACCGTGATTCCACCATTTTACCTTCCTTACACAACTTACTCATCAAAACATTAAAAAAATACAAACTTGGAGGATACCCATAATCCAAAATCTCCTCATAAAAATCAAAAGCTACCATTGGTGAATTAAGCTTCATTAAATATTCAAGAACCTTAGTACAACCTTGAAATGGGAACCTAATTTTATGTTTTTGGATAAGCCTAAAGCACTGAATAGCATCAGAAACAAACCCCAAATCCAAATAAGAGGCAATAAATTCATTTAAAACATTCACAAAATGATAGAATTCGAGGGTCCACCAAACTCTATAGAGAACCAGGTTCTCTATAAGTTCCCACAGATATAAGTTCGCACAGAAACCATGCACACTGCAGTATTTAAATGACAAGATGAATTTTACGTGGAAAATTCTCAGCTCAACGGGATTAAAAACCACGACCTACCCTTGTAGGATTTCAACTTCACTATGAGCAACTTTCAGATTACACCTATGTAGCCTAGGAATTAACCTCTTAATCTCTCACTAACTTATAACAACTCTATTACAAGCCACTTTGTAATAACTATATTACAAAAACTTAATCTCTCGCTAACTTGTAACAATTCTATTACAAGCCACTTTGTAATGACTCTATTACAAAGACTTCCAACTCGACTAAACTAGCCAAGACACAAACACAAGGGTTTATGATTTACAAAGATTTCCCACACAATGCTTCTAACTAAGCGAAGTAGGAATTACAAGTAAAGAACTTTAACAAAGGTGCAATACAACTAAGGACATGTGATGACTCAATGTCCTTCGTTATGTTGCTCTTTGTTCTTGAAGCCTTGAAGGTTACTTGCAGGTTGGCAATACACTTGAGAGAGAGCTTGATTGATTCTGAAGTATGCAAGTGTTGTTTTGCCTTTCCTTCATGTTAATATTGCATAAGTGACCTCACTTGAATGATGTAAGCATGTTTGGTACAAAGGCATTCCCCATAAAGTTGACTGCTCCACTGTTTACACTGTTGCGTGTTTGCAGAGGAACAATTACAGTCACTTTATAGCTGTGGGGAGTTGACTGGTACTGTCAGTAAGGGAACTGATGTCGATCTGTTCCCTCTATTATTTCTAGGACTCTGAAGAATTGAACCACGTCCCCAAACTGAGACTTGTTGTTCTTTAAGTATTTGAGGATGTGTATCAGGTTCTTGTCATTAAGTCCCTGTTGTTTCTTGGACTCTGAAGAATTGAACCACGTCCCCAAACTGAGACTTTTTATTTTTTAAGTACTTGAGGATATGTATTGGATTCCTATCTGGTTCTTGTTATTAAGTTTGTTAGATCATCAAAACATAACAAGGTATATATAACCTATCAATTTCCCCCTTTTGATGATGACAAACTTATAATTGAAATTCCTCCTAAGAACCAGAATGACATACACATAACCTGTATTCCCCCCTAATCTGTTCCCTAGCTTGTTCCCCCTCAATTATTCTTTCCCCTTTTGGCATCATAAAAAGATCAGTAGCAAGTAATAAGCAAGAAGAAGTCTAGCTTGGTTAACTCATGCCACATGTGTGCACGCAGTCATGACTAAAAACAGAGCAGAAGAACAAGATATGCACAACAAAAGGATGAGAAATTCATTAATTTTGGAAATAAAGAGGGACTAGTTCCATTGATACACAATCACCACACAATAAAAACAACAAAAAGGTGTCAGTCATCAAACATAAAACACAGGAAGCAAAAACAACTTGAACTTGAACTGACACTGGAAGGGAATGACTCTAAGGAGCACTAGAAGGGGAAGGCTTAGATGAAGAGGCAAGGGTGTTAAGAAGGATGTCCATTCGAGCATTAGCTGACATCTACTCATTGAGCAGTTTCTCCTTCAGGTCCTCAACCTGTTTACTGAGGTCGACATTTTCTTTGGTCAAACGGGCAACTTCTGTGCTGTGAGAGCTGCTGGAACCAGGTGCCTCCTGAAGCTAACTTAGCTTACCTTCAAGAATGGCATTCCTTGCCTTCAGCTTGCTTGTCTCATCAGTGGCACTGTTTTGGGCGTTGGTCAACTGGGAGATAGTAGAAGTGCTGCTAACCTCTCCAACCTTATCAATGCACTCACATTCCTCGAGGGTGGTCTTGGAGAAGGTTTTATTACAAGTACCCAATTTAGCTTTTCCCAAAGGGACTTTGAAGAATTCAAAAACCTTAGTGAGGAGTAACCCGTAAGGTAGCCCATGACTTCCATCCTTGAACTCTGCCATCTTTTGCATATGTTCTATCATGATGCCAGGCAGGTTAATAGTTGTATAGCCATCCAGTGCTTCCATGAGAACCAGGTCTTCTCGAGATGTAATTGACATTCTCTAAGCATGAGGGAGCAAGTCCTTGTTCACTAACTCAAACAACAATTGGTACACTGGAAGGAGGGCCTTCTTGTGTACCCGTTCCCCTTGCTGAACTGCCTTATCCTTCACAATAGCATTTCTAAAGTTTGAATAATAGGAGCCTTGAACATAAGACAACCCCTCAGCAGGCACACCCAGAATAGATCCCAGCACAACAGAGTCCATCACAAAATCGACCCCATTCACCATCATGAAAATATGATCATCCTTAACTGTGAAGAAGTCAACATAGAAACTGCGCACTTCTTCCTCATACACTTTGGGAGTGTCACCTGTGAACAAGTGCGTCCACTATTGAAATTCATAAATCTCCGCCAATTGTCGCATGCCAGCCATATCCAGAATATCAGGGGCAAAGGTTCTACCCCAAAGCAACTTATGTTTCCTCAGGTTTTCCCTTCTAACATCCTTGGTCACATTGACCTTGGCCTTTTTCAAGGAACCGGGTCCTTCACTAGCACTATCCTTCCTCTTCACATGATTTCTTTACACTGTTTCTTTTCTCAGCAGGTTTCCCAGACACCTTCTTAGACACGTTCTTACCAGACCCCTTAGCTACTTTTTCTCTAGAATTTTAAATCGCAGGTTTCTTGGAGGATTTACGGATTAAGGGACTGGGTTCGTCATCCACCTCGTCATCAATGTCCACAACAAGAGATGTAGGCACCACCTCTAACTTTCTACCCTTTACTAACCTTCTCCTCTTCTTTTCTTTCTTGCTTTTCTTTAGAGCTGACTCAAGCACCTCCTTCTGTCGCAGCCTTGTAGTAGGTCTTTTAGGAGTGGGTGTTTTGGGAGTTGCCATGCTATTCCTAGCACTAATAAAGCTTGCAATTGCCACATTATCATAGTCCTTTTCACTACCGTCATTCTCATCCTCAGACAGAGATCTCATCTCGGGAGCAATAATGGCCAATGGCTCAGCATAGAAGTGATGAGAGAGAGCGAGATCAGTACTGACCTGGGATTCTTTAGAAGAATAGGGAGTTTCATCCCAAGTAGGAGCATAGGGCTCCTCTTGTGTGAAGGGATCAGGTCCCTCAGTAGGTTCCCCAGTAGTACTTTCTGGTGCCAGATTTTTTACAGTCACCAGTTTCCTTCCTTCTTTCAGTAGACAGTCACCTTCCCCTTAAGACCCATTCGTTTCAGACACACCTTCATAACCACTATCTACACAACTCTCAACAGTGATTGACAACATATTCTCTATGTCTCTTGTTCTTGCAAACCTAAAGTGAACTCATAAGCCATAGGAAAATCATTACCTGTAGAATCGGTGACATACAAATCAACCCCTGGGGTAGTTCTTGTTGATTCATCATTATTACGACCCATGCCTTGCTGTATCTCAGAACTTTCTTCCACTGGTAGACTAGAAATTTCCTGATTTTCTTCTCCCTCAACAGTATTTTCTTCAACCATCTTTTTCGGCGAGGTAGAAGTAGAGGTCACAACCACAAATTTATTGGGAGTCGATGGTTTGCGACTCCGATGAGAACCAGAACTCGACTGGGCTGGAGAGGAAGAAGAGGGTGGTTGTGACTCTAGCTTAGAGTTTGGACTAGTTAGAACAGGGAGTGTGGGCTCTATCACTGGTGTTTCAACGGATGAGGACACAGTGGGGACAATGCTTGGAACATTCTGTGTTTCTTGATTGTTAGACATGGTGGTGTGTAGTCAGTTGAAGAAGAAAGTTTGAAGAAGGAAAAGGGTAATTTTGGATTCTTGATGTGAACAGTTCTGAAATGTATTTATTTAAGAGGGGTGAGAGACCGGTTGGGTATCAATTTTGGGTAGTCGGGTCGCTTCATAAAGGGTGAGACGCTTGGATTCAAGAAGCAACAAAAAGGGAACTGATAATTTTAATGATGTGGCACCATTTCAGTCGTTTAAAACATTGTGCATGATAGTACAGAGGAACTACTAACCTATGTCAAAGGAACCAGGTTCCCTGACAGAGTTTGAAAATGTAAGCCTCATCCTTTGACCAATCGTGCAATACATTAGCTACTTGTCTGCTCTGTAATCGTCATGCGTGTCTACCTGTAATGGTATAGAGGTGAGTTAGACTGCGCCAGAAAACACTTTTTAGCTATTTTACATGTACATTTCTGTCGTAGACAATCATCGAGGGACCAGGTTCTCAGCTTGATTTTATCATTCATAGGGCCATGCAATTCTTTTCAAAGAGCTCTCTGCTTAGTGCTTTGGTGAAGATATTTGCAATTTGATCTTCTGTGCTGTAAAACTTCACGCAGATGAGCCATATCACAACATTGTCTCGAAATCTTCTAGCTGCTGCTTGATCCACAACAGTTGAGTACAGCAAGAGGCAGCTGCCACATACTCAGTTTCAACAGTTGAAAAGACCACTGAGTTTTGTTTTCTTGTGCCCCATGAGATTAGACACAAACCCAGAAAATATGCCATATCCGAAGTGTTTTTCCTATCCACTATATAACCAGCATAGTCAGCATCAGCATACCCTATCAAGTCAAAGTTATCTCCTGAGGGATAATAGAGAACCAAGTCATGCGTTCCTTTGAGATACCTTATAATTCTCTTTTCAACCTTCAGATGAGACTCTTTTGGATTGGATAGAAACCTGGCACAGAGTCCCATACTGAAAACAATGTCTGGTCTACTTCCTGTGAATACAGAAGTGACCCAATAATGCCTCTATACATAGTCTCGTTTACAGGAGAACTAGGTTAATCCATATCCAGGCGAGTGGCACTAGCAACAGGTGTATCAATGATCTTTGAACTTTCCATCTCAAATCTCTTCAGAAGCTCTTTGATGTACTTTTGCTAATTTATTATTGTGCCCTGAGGAGTTTGTCTGATTTGTATACCCAAGAAGAAATTCAACTCTCCCATCATACTCATCTCGAACTTACTTCCCATGAGTTTTACAAATTTCTCACACAATGAGTCGTTTGTTTCTCCGAAGATGATGTCATCAACATAGACTTGCACAATGAGCACGTTCCTCCCTCGTTTCAAGCGCATATCTTGCATTTGATCTTGTTGTGAGATGGTCCAGATATTTTTGAATGTGATTCTCTCTCTGTATGTGGGGTCCCTTGATCTGCATCAGCAACTCTGTTTTCAGCTTTAGTTGTAGTGATTGAAGAACTGGGTTCCTCTATGTCAGCTGGAGATTCAGATGTGCCATTGTCATCTGAATCCTTGACCTGACTCATCATGTTAGTGTTTTCCATTTGCCATGTCAATAACTTCACCAGGGACAGTTGACCGTTCTCCCTCTTGATCAATTTTATCATGTGAATCCTTCCCACATGAGTGGTGAGATTCATCAAAAATTACATGTATACTTTCCTCAACACATTGCATCGCACACCTTGTGATACTTGAAGCTTGAGTTGGGCAGGCCATGAACCAGGTTTTTATTGACCAGCAACGTGAAACTTGCATGACCCAGCCTTCTGTGCCATAGTTCAGCATCATCCTCAATAGCACTCAGACATCTGAGATCACCACTCTTGTTTCATATGTCACAGATTTGGGAGACACTTAACAAGCTGTACTTCAACCCATTCACGTAGTACATATTTTCAATTGAGTGAGAAGGAAACTTCTCAATTCTTCCAATTCCCAGAATGTATCCCTTTTTGCCATTTCCAAAGGATACACTCCCTCCTTGCAGGGCTTTGAGTGAAAGGAAATCATTTGTGCTTTCAGTCATGTGCTTCGAGCAACCACTAACTATGTACCCTTGTTAGCTGCTCCCTTTCACTGCCCCCTGTACAAGGAAGTCAGGGTTAGACTTAGGAACCCGAACAAGTTTGGGTCCCTTGTAGTGAGAAAAAGGTCGAATTAAACTTCTTTTTGTCCAGGCAGGCACTATATGTTTATTAATGGAGGGACCAGGTTCCTTAGCAGTAGTTACTTTCTTAGCAAAAACTTTATTTTTCTGTTGAGACTGAACCCTAGCCTTGTAGTTTTCCTTAAGGTGCCCATTGTTACCATAGTGAATACAAAGCCAATTATCGGGTATAGTAATATACTGCAATGAGGGTTGTAGGGAGTCTTTTCCCTTTGAAACCCAATTCCCTGCCTGTTTCCCCTATTGTTTATGTACATGGCAGTGATAGCATCAGAGGACCAGGTCCATTTGAGTGATTTTTCAAGATCACTCTTGACTTTTCCTAGTTCTTCCTGAAGTTGTTTGTTCTTTTCAAGTTCAATACATAGTCTAGACTTCACTGTCTTCATCTCATCTTCAAGCCTAAGATGTGGTTCATTAGCAACTTCCTTACCTTTGTGAAGAGTCTCATGCCTACCCTCTCCTTTCAGTTCCTTAATTGTGTCATTCAGATCAACTACTACTAGTAGTAGGTCATCTCTCTCAAGCTCAGTGTTAGCGACTCTTTTGGTCAAGACTCTACTACTAGAGTCTCAATAGTTTCCTTCAAATCAACCACCACTACTACTAGATCATCTCTCTCAAGTTCTAAGTTAGCAGCTTTTTCAATTAAAACTTCTTCCTCTTTCTTAGCACACTCCATAGTTTCTTTCAAATCTACCACAACGACTACTAGGTCATCTCTAGATTGTTCTGCTTCTCCTAATTCTACAATTAGAGTATTTTTATCATTTATAAGACGGTGGTATGCATCTATTAAAATATTTGCCAAAGACATGAGTTTGTTTGAAGAATAAGATTTCAGATTTCTCTGAACATCCAGAAAATTTACCTCATCATCGTCGTCGTCATCTTCATCATCATCAGACTGAGCCCTCAAGGCAAAAATGGAGTCATACTCAGTTGCTTCACTTTCTACTGCCATCATTGAACTGTCACCATGATCATTATCTTCTTCAGATTCGCTGGAGGAGTCTCCCCATGCAACAAGAGCTTGTTTTACAACATTGTCAGCGACATTCTTTCTATTGAGGCGTTTATCAGGAACCGGGTTCCTCTTGGCTGCTTTGTCAAAGTTATTTTTATACTGATCTTGCTTTAGGAGAGGGCAATCCTTGATGAAGTGCCCTGGCTTGACACATTTATGACAAAGGTCATAATGTTTTGGCTTGCTAGAACTTCCCCTTTTTGGAATGCCTCCATTCCTACGAACCATCTTCTGGAATATTCTTGTCAAATATACCATATCACCATCCTCACCACTTGAATCATTACTGCCTATTTTGAGAACCATGTTCTTCTCTCTTTGGGGATCTCCTCTCTTATTGTCCTTCTTCTTCTTCTTCTTCTTCTTCTTCTTCTTCTTCTTCTTCTTCATTTCATAAGTTTTTAGATTACCAATGAGTTCATCAATGGTTAGCTTCTGCAAATCCTTTGCCTCTATGATGGTGTTTACCTTGCTTTCCCAGGAACCAGGTAATACACTAAGTATTTTCCTGATAAGTTTGTTTCTGGGAATGATTTCTCCCAATGAGTGAAGCTCATTGATGATAGAGGTGAAGCGAGTGTGCATGTCCTAAATGGACTCATCGTCCTTCATCCTGAATAGCTCATACTTAGTGGTTAGCATATCAATCTTCGACTGTTTGACTTGAGTAGTCCCTTCGTGTGCTGTTTGGAGAGCCTCCCAAATCTCCTTGGCAGATTGGCAGGCAGAAATCCGATTATATTCGTCTGGTCCAATACCACAGACGAGGATCTTTTTGGCTCGGAAGTTCTTTTCTACAGCCTTTCTGTCAGCATCGTTGTATTCTTTCCTAGTCTTAGGAACTGACACTTCTGGTTCTTCAATGGTCTTCATAGGAACAAAATGACCATCGCAGATGACATCCCAAAGTTCTGAGTCTTCAGTCATGATAAAATCATGCATCCTTGTCTTCCACCATCCATAGTATTGTCCATTAAATCGTGGTGGTCTGTAGGTTGATTGACCTTCTTCAAAGTTTGGTGGAGCAGCCATGAGGATCCTTTCTAGGTGTTAGCCTGATAGAAAGAACCTGCTCTGATACCAATTGATAGAATTCGAGGGTCCACCAAACTTTATAGAGAACCAGGTTCTCTATAAGTTTCCACAGATATAAGTTCGCACAGAAACCACGCACATTGCAGTAGGTAAATGATAAGAGGAATTTTACGTGAAAAATTCTCAGCTCAACGGGATTAAAAACCACGACCTACCCTTGTAGGATTTCAACTTCACTATGAGCAACCTTCAGATTACACCTATGTAACCTAGGAATTAACCTCTTAATTTCTCACTAACTTGTAACAACTCTATTACAAGCCACTTTGTAATAACTCTATTACAAAGATTTAATCTGTTACTAACTTATAACAACTCTATTACAAGCCACTTTATAATGACTCTATTTCAAAGACTTCCAACTCGACTAAACTAGCCAAGACACAAACATAAGGGTTTATGATTTATAAAGGTTTCTCACACAATGCTTCTAACTAAGCGAAGTAGGAATTACAAGTAAAGAACTTTAACAAATGTGCAATACAACTAAGGACATGTGATGACTCAATGTCCTTCATTATGTTGCTCTTTGTTCTTGACGCCTTGAAGGTCACTTGCAGGTTGGCAATACACTTTAGAGAGAGCTTGATTGATTCTGAAGTATACAAGTGTTGTTTTGCCTTTTCTTCATGTTAATATTGCATAAGTGACCTCACTTGAATGATGTACGCATGTTTGGTACAAAGGCATTTCCCATAAAGTTGACTGCTCTACTGTTTACACTGTTACGTGTGTGCATAGGAACAGTTGTAGCCACTTTACAGCTCTGGGGAGTTGACTGGTACTGTCAACAAGAGAACTGATGTCGATCTGTTCCCTCTGTTGTTTCTTGGACTCTGAAGAATTGAACCACGTCCCCGAACTAAGACTTGTTGTTCTTTAAGTATTTGAGGATGTGTATCACGTTCCTTATCTGGTTCTTGTCATTAAGTCCCTGTTATTTCTTGGACTCTGAAGAATTGAACCACGTTCCCGAACTGAGACTTGTTGTTCTTTAAGTACTTGAGGATGTGTATCAGATTCCTTATCTGATTTTTGTTATTAAATTTGTTAGATTATCAAAACATAACAAGGTATATATAACCTATCACAAAAGATGTAAAGTTGTTACCTTTAACTTTCAAAATTGCTTGAAAAACTGTAAAGGCGGAGTCTTTACATCTTCTTGAAACAATAGTGTGGATAAAAGAGTAAGCTTGTGAATTCATTTTCTGGGTGTAAAGAAAAAGGGTCATAGTGCAATAAGTGTGAAGTGTATGGCAATATTTTGAATTGTGAGAAGTAGAAGAAAGCCATGTGAAGAAAGAGAGGAGAGAAGAACGGGTTAAAGAATGAGGATTAAGGCTAATGAGGTTGATTATGTGTTGGGGTTTAAGAGATGGGAGGAAGGTTTTAAGGGAAGTTTGAAGGGGTTTTGTGAGAGTTGTTTATGGCTTTCTGAAAGGGTTTTGAGTATTGGGTCTGATGAATCNAGGGTTTTAAGGGAAGTTTGAAGGGGTTTAGTGTGAGAGTTTTTTATGGCTTCTGAAAGGGTATTGAGTATTGGGTCTGATGAATCTTGATGTTGGTAGGGTAGGGGTAGTGGTGGGGGAAAGGTGAACCATGGAGGGGTGGTGGTGGTGGTGGTGGTGGTGGTGGAGAGGTGGTGTAAGGGAGGAGAAAGGGGTTTTTCTTAGTGCTCTTCTTGAGATGGTCATTGTAAACATTTCTGAACTGTTTAGTTAAGGCAGAGGAAAGAAGAAAAAAAGCTATAAGAGTAAATGACAAAAATGGTTTAAGTTTAAAATAATTTGTCAAATGTGAATACTTTTATGTAATTTTGGTCTGTTTCTCAAGTCTGGTACCAAATTTAGGTGCAATTTATGTTATTTTTGTCTGATTCAGTTTTTGTTGTTGCAGCTTTAGGATTTGATGGTAATTTGCTGATGTATTTAGTTAAATCTTTTTTCCTCAAATTTTTTGATAAAATTTAACAGCTAGCTTTTTTCATGAAAATCATAAGTGTTCACTTTTGATAAATTTAAAGTATATTTTAAACATACCCAAACATAAGAGGCTATTTTTTTATTAGGAAATAATACTATGTAGTCGCTCTTAAAATAATAGTAAAAAATATAGATTTATATATATACAATTTTTGTATGTTATATATAATAAATATACAAATTTTATATATTTTTGTAACTATCGTATATAAATAGTTTCGACTGCGGGCTAAAAGTTTGATGAACTCATGTAAAAGTAACCCGATTTCTCACAGAAATAAATATATGAAAAATCATTTGCCTATTTCTTGTTTATGAGCACTTTGACTCCACTGCTTTAAATCAATCAAACCCCAAAAAATAAAGCATTTACATTGGTTAGCTGCAGAAGATATCATTCAAATTTCAAGTAATAATTAAAATATCAACTTGTCACATGTTATATTGTAAATTTGTAATGAATGAAACTGGAAATGAATTGTTAAAAAGCCATTTTGGCCAATACAAAATTTATAGAAGAAAAACATATTTGTAAGTTGCAAAAGAACAGAACCATTTATTCTTAACCTCCAACAATTCACCAACCTTAATAAGAATGTATTCAAAATTTAATTTCTGAATGATGGTTAGTAGGGCCAATGCGGCATAAATGCAGATTAGTCAGGGCCATTGAATTTTGGATAACGGATAGTTAAACCACAAAAATTTAGATCGAGCCTTTCGTCAACGCTTTCATCCATACCTAATATTTTTGATGTAACATATAATATATA